CCCTCCCCCCGCTCACGCCCGTCGTCGGGCCGCTCCTGTAACATTTGCCACCCTCCCGGTCACGGACCTTACGCAACAACGCTTTCGCGCTGCGTTGTTTCGCTAATTACTGTCGGACAATCTTTATATCAAAGGCATATATATATATATATATCAATTCAAAATGTTCTGCGTTGAAGACATTTCTATCTCTATCTGTTTTCGTTTTTACCATATTGCGACTGTTTAATTTAAAAATATCTAAAAACTTTTCATTTAGTGAGACTTGAATGCAAGTATTTCTTGTACAGTAATATAGGAGCATTTTAATAATGTTGAATATAAAATATTTATATCACGTCGCGTGTTATTTCAGTTCTATAAACATTTAACAGAAGTCTTATGATAATTCTTGCAATACATTTTTAAAAATATTTTCTATAATAGAATGTTTTCTGATTATAGTATACACTCTCCTCTTCTCACAGTAAATCCGCAATAAGTAACGAGATAGATAATAAATATTTTATAATTCTTATCTTATATCGAATCATCATAGCAAGCTTGTACTCTAATATTAGTACTAACAATAGTACTAGTTCACGTTAATACTTAAATATTTGGTTAAAAAAAATCTCTCTTGTAAATTTTAAAAAGGTTGAATAAAATATTTTTTTCCAATGATTATTTAGAGGATTGTATATATTTTTCCTATATTATACTCTTTCAATCGAAATGTTAATCGTGACAAATCAAATAAAGTGTGAAAATTTATAATTATTATTATATAAACGGTAAACGTAATTAAAATTTAAAAATTGGATTATTTTTCAAATATTAGTTCTTATTATTTGCCAAACGTTGGTTAGTGAATTTTTTTTTTTCAAGTCGTCGCTCTTATATATCCCTTTATTCTTCGTATTCGCAAAGGACGTTTGCAGACCGACAGAGTTCGCGATACGTTGGTCGTATTTGCGCACGACGATGGGCAGAAAGGGCAGGAGAAGCGATGTAAAGCCCCCGGTGCTCTTGGCACCCTCCACGATGGCTCGTAGCAAAGGGGGTGCGCGACGAGGGGGTGATAGCGAAGTACGAGCGAGCGTTCGCTTCGAACTGTGTAAAGTATTGACTCGCTCCGTTGTAGGGAGAGCACCGTAAGCACCGTGTCTATAATGTTGACAGACGGCTCTCGGGATTCGCCTCCGTCCGGAAGGAATAACGCGACTTCCGGGAGCGGGGAAGTAAATTTCACCAAGCAACCAAACCGGGCCGGGTTGAAGCTTTTCGCGAAAAACGCGAATACATAAAATACCGATTGCAAACAACCGCAACCCGCATCGATTTTAACCATTTCAAAAAGTTTAGTTCTCTCTTATTCTTTTTTGAAAAAACTTAGATCTCTTTTATCCTATTTTTTTAAATTAAAAAAAATTAGTCTCTCTCTCTCTCTCTCTCTCTCTCTCTCTTCTAATGATACTCGGCGAAAATGAAGAGTACCTGTCACATTAATTCCGTGACACGTTTCCTTCAAACAGAAGTGACATTTTCGTTGTATCGATTCCAGATACGCGTTCGTAATTATATCATCAAGTAAATATACAACTGCATATCATGATTAATCATGATAAATAAAATATAGGAATTTAAATATACTGTAACAAAATGAAGATAATGTCCATGATAGCATAATACATATCTTAGGACGTTAAATTATTTTTACATTAACATTCTACAATATGTATCTTCTTCTGAAAATTGAATTATTTCTAATTTATAAAAAAGTTTATAAAAAAGTAATATAAAAAAAGCAATATTTTTTAATTTATCTTGAATTTTAACTAAATTATACATTTTCAAAAATAAATTACAATGATTATTTGTCA